TACAATCAGGGGCCATAATCCATGAAGTTACAGTCCGATACATGTCAATATCGAAAAGAAACTTACATTTTAAGTTTGAACAAAATCGGATAAAAATTGTGACCTCTATAGGGTCCACAACCTTGATATACCACATTTTTACGCTATTTGAGAACGAAGGGCGGTCATTTTGTCTGTCAGTTTTGGTCCGATTTTCACGAAATTCGAACTCAGTCGTTCTTGGGGTGTTACGGTGATATAATAATAGTTTTTTTTAAATCGGATAAAAATTATGACCTCTAAAGGGTCCACAAGCTAAACACTCGATTGTTCGTACGATCAGGGGCCATAATTCAGGAAGTTATGTTCCAATATGCGCGAATATCGAAAGGAACCGAGATTTTTGGGTTATAAGCATACATTTCAAGTTTAAACCAAATCGGATAAAATTGTGACCTCTACAGTGTTCACAAGTGGGCGTATAAAAAGTGATTTATATTCAATTTTTAATTTTTTATTATAATTTTTAATAAATTATGTTCAATGAAATACTTGACTTGTAAAAATTGAATGGCAGTCGTCTCCGCCTGCTTAGAGCTTTCTACACGTTTTTTTTTTAAATTGTTATTTTGTCGTTTTTGAATCACCCATTACTAATTACTTCCGCAATGCCTTGTGCGATAATCAAATGATAACAACATCAAGTTTGATTGAAATGGTCCAATATATTAATCAGATTTCACTTATTTGTATTTTATATGTTATAATACTAATAATAATAATGTGCATACTTATAATGCGCTTTATCCACAAGGGTTGTGCTCAAAGCCCGGAACAATTACTATCCCGGTGTCTAGGATACAGGTATGGCGTTTGTCATCTTGTTGAGTTTCGGATTATATACTATATGCATATGGTGTCGCATCGGGGTTAGTTTTCAAATTTGACCAAAAGGAATATAAACAGAAATTACGGATTTTTATAAGATTGCCAGCTGTTTTGTTTACGTGCTGAAAATTCACAACATCATTTGGATTGGGGATTCCTGCCTGTCCTCCAGAACCTCGCCCTACCCCGGCTGTATGGTGATAGTCTGCATCAAAATAAAATGCTTGGAATACATTTTCACTCATTATTAACATGTTGGTTGTTGCATGAGGTTTGGGGCACGTGAAATTAAATTTAACAAGCCAACAGCGAGGCTGATATCCTCTGCCGAAATCCCAAAATAAACAGATGACACATATTAATTAATCGCACATTTATTTTTTTCAAAAATATCAAGCAATCAAGCTATACACTAAGTTTCATCACTCTCTATCCGATAGAATCAAGATAATCTTGTCCCAAAGCATCGACCAATGAAATTGATTAGCTCTGCTTAGCTTCATCTCGAAATGTTAATCATTGAACTCAGGCAAGACATTCACCTAATGAACATCTAGATCAAGTTTAAACATTCTACCTCAATTAAAAGCAGAGTTGTTATGTTCCAAAGTCTTGACCAATCAAATTGCTTATCGCTCCTTAGCCTGAGCAGACAATTCTCACCATCGAACTAAGTCAAGGTAATAATATAATGAATCTATATTCGGGGTTTCATCGCACTCACTTCATTATAACTAAAGTTATCATACCCCAAAGCATCAACCAATCATATTGCTTATCTCTGCTTACCGTAAGCAGACAATGTTCATCATCGACCCCCATCAAGACATTCACAACATGAACGCCTACACCAAGTTTGAACATTCTACCCCAATTAGAAGGAGAGTTATTGTGTTCCAATTTCTCGACCAATCAAATTGCTTACCGCTCTGCTTACCCTCGGCAGAAAATGTTCATTATCGAACTTAGTCAAGGTATTGATGTAATGAAACTATACACCAAGTTTCATCACTCTCACTTAATTAGAACTAAAGTTATCGTGTCCCAAAGCATCAACCAATCAAATTGCTTATCTCTGCTTACCCTAAGCAGAAAATGCTCATCTTCGAACTCCATCAAGGCATTGGCCTAATAAATACTTACACAAAGTTTGAACATTCTAGCTCAATTACAAAGAGAGTTATTGTGTCCCAAAAAGTGTGACGGACAGACAGACAGACAGACAGACAGGCGGACGAACCCATTTTAATAGTCCCCTGCTTTCTTCGAAAGGCGGTAGCAAAAAATGGCTTTCATTGGATACATAAACTTCGCTGGGAAGTAAAATATGTGACATTGGCGATGGGTACATTCAGTTTGTTTTAAAGGGCATAGGGCTCTTTTCTTTGGAACATTAAAATAGATGAAAATGGTTCTAAAAGCACATATTTTAATCGTAATGTAATATGAATGTATAACCAGCGGCTGCCAGACAGGAAACGCCCACATTATCGAGAGATGAACAGAGAACAAGCTAAAAAGAAAGTGGTTTTTCCTACAATCAAGGGCCATAATTCAGGAAATTACAATTCGATATGCGCAAATATCGAAAGGAACCGAGATCTTTGGGTTATAAACTTACATTTCAAGTTTCAACAAAATCAGATAAAAATTGTGACCTCTATAGGGTCTACAACCTTGATATACCATATTTTACGCTATTTCAGAGCGAAGGGCGGTCAGTTTGTCTGTCAATTTTGGGCTGAATTTCACGAAATTCGAACTCAGCCGTCCTTAGGGTGTAACGGTGATATAATAATACGTTTTTTTAAATCGGATAAAAATTATGACCTCTATAGGGTCCACAAGCTAAAAACGCGATTTTTCGTACAATCAGGGGCCATAATTCAGGAAGTTACGGTCCAATATGCGCAAATATCGAAAGGAACCGAGATTTTTGGGTTGTAAGCATACATTTCAATTTTAAACCAAATCGGATAAAATTGTGACCTCTACAGTGTTCACAAGCTAAAAACGTGATTTTTCGTACAATCAGGGGCCATAATCCATGAAGTTACAGTCCGATACATGCCAATATCGAAAAGAAACTTACATTTTAAGTTTGAACAAAATCGGATAAAAATTGTGACCTCTATAGGGTCCACAACCTTGATATACCATATTTTTACGCTATTTGAGAACGAAGGGCGGTCATTTTGTCTGTCAGTTTTGGTCCGATTTTCACGAAATTCGAACTCAGTCGTTCTTGGGGTGTTACGGTGATATAATAATAGTTTTTTTTAAATCGGATAAAAATTATGACCTCTATAGGGTCCACAAGCTAAACACTCGATTGTTCGTACGATCAGGGGCCATAATTCAGGAAGTTATGTTCCAATATGCGCGAATATCGAAAGGAACCGAGATTTTTGGGTTATAAGCATACATTTCAAGTTTAAACCAAATCGGATAAAATTGTGACCTCTACAGTGTTCACAAGCTAAAAACGTGATTTTTCGTACAATCAGGGGCCATAATCCATGAAGTTACAGTCCGATACATGCCAATATCGAAAAGAACCGAGATCCTAGCGTGATAAACCTATATTTCAAGTTTCGTTGAAATCGGATAAAAATTGTGATCTGTAGACTGTTCACAAACAATTGTGGACGGACGGACGGACGGACGGACAGGGGCGACGACAATTTACGTCCACATGAAAATGTGGGCGTATAAAAAGTGATTTATATTCAATTTTTAATTTTTTATTATAATTTTTAATAAATTATGTTCAATGAAATACTTGACTTGTAAAAATTGAATGGCAGTCGTCTCCGCCTGCTTAGAGCTTTCTACACGTTTTTTTTTTAAATTGTTATTTTGTCGTTTTTGAATCACCCATTACTAATTACTTCCGCAATGCCTTGTGCGATAATCAAATGATAACAACATCAAGTTTGATTGAAATGGTCCAATATATTAATCAGATTTCACTTATTTGTATTTTATATGTTATAATACTAATAATAATAATGTGCATACTTATAATGCGCTTTATCCACAAGGGTTGTGCTCAAAGCCCGGAACAATTACTATCCCGGTGTCTAGGATACAGGTATGGCGTTTGTCATCTTGTTGAGTTTCGGATTATATACTATATGCATATGGTGTCGCATCGGGGTTAGTTTTCAAATTTGACCAAAAGGAATATAAACAGAAATTACGGATTTTTATAAGATTGCCAGCTGTTTTGTTTACGTGCTGAAAATTCACAACATCATTTGGATTTGTTCAATTATTATGAATCTCTAGTAATTAATTAGTTACTGGATAACATTGAAAGTATTTACTATATTTTGAACTGTTGATTAACAAAACATGGTGACAATACTCGTACTGACCATGGGCGTTGCTAGTAATCGTATTAGTTTCTATCAGCATCAATTAATTACAGTACTGAAAGGCTCTCTAATACGGTCCATATATATATTCCAATATTCCATAAACCATTGAATGTAATTGTATTCAGTATATCCACAACACTCGTCAATGTGTATTTGTAAGTCTCTTGTGATTAGCTGTGAACTGTTCACGCAAACAGATTTTGTTTGCTTCTGTTAATGGGTATATAAATCAATTTGGATACAGCAATATGATATTTATATTGGGAAGAATAGACCAACAACCTTGATGTGAGTACAGGAAATGAATATGTATGTACATGTTTCGGAGTTTGGACATATAATGTACACACGTTTTCTATTAGTTGACGTTTTTATTGTAAAACATTGTGCTGCTGCTACTTTCTAGAACACATAATCCCACTTCTCATTGATTTGAAAAGTTCACAAAGCTAACACTTTTTGTTTTTCAACTGATATATCACCACTATGATCGGGTATCAGGCATTATCGGATCAGCAGTCTTTCCTGTCTCATGCAGAATACCCGATAATACACCAAGGCTCACGAATGTTTTGACCCGCCCCTTGGTGAATTTTTCGTAATTAGACTTTTTAATATATGGTGCCGTTGGTTCAAAGAAGATGAAGTCCCTAGGAGTCATCCGCCCACCATATTACCATCCAAACTATCGAAATACATAGCTTGTATGGTCTTGGGGATATTTGATATTATGGTACACAGAAAACAAAGTGAACTTTTAAAAATATTCATTCAAAAACTTTATATAAATATTACAATCAAAATGTTTGTATAACACAAGAACATGAAATGGATGTTGATATTGTGGCCATAACGTGAACTACAGATGATAACATGCACATTTGGGACCTTGATGTGGCACAATTTTAAGAAATTGATAGATAAAACAGTTAAGAACAGTAATTGAATTCGTTGGCATTGTTATTAGAACAAAACCACACACACACACACACACCCTCACACACACCCAGACGCACGGGTGAAGCTTACAATTTGTGCCACCAAATAATCATTATTTGCCCTAAACAAACATTTTCTCCAAAACTTCTGGCCCAAATAGAGAAAGTTAGATCCCATGTACATATCATTATTACATATATCTTTCTTAACTATAAGTCACTTGTTTGCACAGATGACATATCAAGTTGAAGTCCGCGTTTTTGAAGATACTCTTGAAAATCAGCCACACCTTTCTCTTCGTTTTCTAGAGCCGATAATGATATATTATAACGTTCATCTGTTAAATTATCTAAACTAGCACCAGAACTTACAGAACTATGACTTATACCACACCCTGATCTGTTTGGGGAGTTTGTATTTACTGAATCGAAATATCGACGGGCCTTTTCTCTCGTCGGAGAGAGGTCTTTATTCAGTAAACTGTCTTTGCTTTTGGCATACGCGTTATGAAGAACTAGAGGTTCACAAACTGAAGAACCGTTACTTGATTTTTTGTGATATTTTGATTTATAATTACCATCTTTACTACAATGACTCGGTGATATTGAACACTCTAAAGTATACATATCATCAAATTCGTGACTATCTGAAAAAGTTTTATCAGCCTCTTTCGGAGAAATCTCATCTTCCCAATCTAAAAGGGGATACGTCTCTGGAGTTGATGGATCCCTAGAGCGGATCTGGTCGGAATTATTGGAGCTCCGATTGCTCTTACTATGAGAGTTGGTGGGTAAAAAGTCATGTTGGGCTTGAGCAGGTGGGTTTTGGATGATTCTTGGGCATCGTTTGCTAATAGGTGAGGTGTAGGGAGACCTGATGCGTCTCCTGCATGTTGGTTCTAAAGTCATAAACACGTTATAATCAGTTTGGCACTGAGAATCTTTCATAGGTTTGTTTGAATATCTATTTGGCCTTTCACACAAACTCGTTTCCTTTTCCTCGTATTCAGGAAACTGTTCACAAAATTCGGCAATATCCTCTTCAACCGATTTCCGGTTGGCTGCTTCAGACGAAAACCTTCCTGGTTTCTTTGGAGTACTATTTGGCTCAAGTTCAAGAATTGGACTTGGCCTCTGGTTTGATATTAAATGATGGTTGACGTAGGGCGTTTCCTTACTTTCCGGGAAACATGTCCTTTTCATAACTGATTTCAGACTCTTTTCGTCCAATGATTTATTCTTCCATTTATCACGTGGTCTGCTGATATCACTTTTAAAATATCCATCATAACGTAAATCTCTGCAAATAAAATAGAAATAGATCATAATATACAATAGAACTAAATAATGGAAAGAAACTCATATTCATACTTTTTACAAAAAAATGAAAATGTTCGATAACCCCTAGTAATAATGGATCTCAATATCAAGCGAGCAAACATGCACTCTGACAGATATATCCTAGGTATTCCGAGTCAATCTGTTTCACAGAGGTATTGCTAAAGCCATCTTATAACTCTGTATAAGATGACTGACCTTTATAAGTTCAAATGCCTTCTACATGTGATGGCCTGTGCATTGTTTACATAACGTAAACTGGTCCGGCAGAATGATGTCTTTTACTCATTACATATACTTATTTACACTAAATAGAAAATATATTTTATCCAGATATACTTCAAACGCCTTTATTTATATTTCTAATACTTCCAAATTTAATTTGCAGAAGGAAAAAAAGTTAATATTGCAAGCTAATTAACCCGCACCGATGTTATCCCTACCAATGATTGTAGCGACCTAGCGAATATTCACTGCTGATCAGTCGCTGCTGATCAGTGTGATTCCAAGTAGGCCAATGGGCGTGCTATAAAAACAAGTCATTGACTTTTAACAATTTCCATGTCACCCGGAACAATTATTTCCTACATGCATATGAGACAAATTCTCCTGAGGGAAATGCCCCCGGGTAATCGAACCATCACGAAACATGTTCGTATGGACATCGATATACATGTATGCGTACACAATTCATATTTGGTTTTAAAAATTCCGTGTACTTTAAAAATTATAACTGCAAATGCTCTGAAAATGTTTAATTAGTTGCTGTAGCATAAATATTCAAATGTTGTCATTTTTTAAAATAAAAATAGGCCTATAGTAATTTATCTTCACAGCTCGCTCATCTGATTGATTTACCGTATGTAATTCGTGAGTTTTCGTATGTAATTTAATTTTAAATATTAAAGTGGGACACGTGTACGAAATAAGAATTTTGTCCTTGGACAAGTTATCTGGGAGCGATTGTCCACGGCTGAAAGATCTTTTGAGGTTGGATATAAGTGAAAAGAAATCAGGCAATATCAAAGCCCGCCCCCCACCCATTGGTTACGTAATTACGTAATTACGTAAATATTCGACTTGATATTATTTGAATCACAGTTCTGCCATGGATATATTTTTTAAAAATCCCAAGCAGAGTTACTTTATTTGTCTTAACCCATTTTCAAATGTCTTTGTGTTAATCAGTCATATAAGAAGGACAGTTATTTTGGTATGTTCCCCCAATTAAGTTAACGACTAGTATACATTAATTTCCAACTTTTTAGCTTACGGATCTGGACTTGAATAACCTATATGGTCGATGGTATGGAACTTAATAATAAACGCTAATACAACAAGCTATAGATATATCAGTATATAGATTATCGGCGACTGGTAGAAGGCGATAAGTTCCGGCCTAGTTCATTAATTTGGTAAGTATATTGTAGATTTTTTATTGTAGATACATGAATCACCGTCTACTGAGTCTCTAGACATGATTTTAGCGTAGACTCTATTGATCCAATCATGTTATACGTTCATCACTTTAAAATCAATTTGATTAGTCTTTCGTATTAACATTATCACAGACCAAAGACTTGACTATACAGATGAATAATTGTATGCTCTTATTCACCCTAGAAACCACACCAAAGATCATTTATGTAATATAATATCCGGAAATCAGACCTCTTTCATTTTCATTCTGATTTTCCCCTGCTAATCCAATAACCAACGAAGTATAGATTCCGTGGCATATCATTTTTAACATTTCTTAGTGTGACCTGGAAGCACATGACCAAAATAATGACTGCAATATAAAACTAAGATCTAGACCCCATAGTTCAGCTACTTTCAAGGGAGTTTGCGTATCTAGAGGAACCAGACAGTGTAAATTTGAATCTTATTTGTTATTCACGATTAGCGAATAATGATCTGTTTCGTTTTTTGTGAACTATGACGAATAAGTCAATAGTTGCGTCACAAAAACTAAGTGCTTTGCTGGAGCAAATCACAGCCACCTAATTCATGTTTTTCAGCTGTTAAAATATAATAAATCTTTTAGAGCGGGTGTGGACAGTGTAGTAATCGTGGTGACTGCTTAGACCCAAGACAATATTTTTTTTATAACGCGCCCCCTCCCCAAAACACACACGTATATTACACACACATGTCTGTATTATCACCTTCTATCCAATCTGATTAAAATCAAATATTTTTTAATTCGTTTTATATTCTGTATTTTATATTTTACCAGACAGAACGAAAAAATAGAAATTAGATTGCAATTTATGGGGGCATTTCTGGAGATATACTTACTTGTATTCCAAACTATCTGCAGATGGCATCGACTTTGAACCGATATGGCAGCGGACATCTTTGGATGTCGTGAATGCCCCTCTGGTATTTTTTTCCGGTGCCCATATTATGATATAAACTTTTGGGCAAAATAGGAGTACCAGCGTAACCACGGCACTTAAAGTAATTGATATACACATAGTGACGCTTTTACTCTCGCCACCAAAGTAAATAGGAAAAAATCCTGACCAAATAACACACGTGGTGTACATCGTAAAACCTATAAATTTGGCCTCATTAAAGTTTTCTGGTAAATTTCTGGTTTTGATTGCGTATAAAGTACACATAAAGATAAGCAACAGGTCAAAGCCAAGCGGTACAATCACTCCTAAGGTTGTTGTGTTGCAGACTAATCGAACTCTCTTCGGCGCCGGATAATCAAATTTCGAGTCTGCTGGTTCTATAATCAACATAATGGTTATTATGGCGCTTTCTACACCAATTATGATGCCTGTTATAACCACCTGCGCTGAAGCACTCATAAAGCGCGGTTTCTTAGTCATAATCTTCTTACTGCCTTCTAGAATCCTTGCGATTCTGTTTGTTTTTGTCACAAGAGCCCCATACATCAATGAAAAAGCTAATCCGGGTAATATTCTGGACAAATAGCACGTGACTATGGAAGGTTTCGCCACTATGACGAAATTAGAACAGCAGGCCACGATTATTCCAAATAAAATAATGTAACTAAGTTCCCGCGTAGAGGCCTTGACAACAGGTGTATTATTATGGCGGATGAACACACTACCAATCCAACAAGTAACTAAAATGCTCACACAAGCCATTGTCATGGCAACGATAGCCTCTGAATCATGCCAACTAGTAAATTCTATAGGAATTTCTTCGCATTCTGAAAGAAAATTAAAGAGCAATTAATTAATAACACAATAAGCCAGATCGTTCACATATAAATTGGAGGTTCAGAACAGGTACTGTTGGTATTGTGTAATTAAGCACATTCGAATATATAAAAAAGAAACGTTTTGAACAATGGACTTTGCGATATCACTAATATGGGAGCACACATTTGAAAAAAATTCAGAGACTTCAAGACCATACATAAATGTTTTTTGAATTAAAAATCCTCGTTCACAAATTACTGAAATCGATAAATTCTATCATAAGCTATGACCATTTTAAGATTTCAATTGATTTCACATATATAGCCCTTTTAGATAAATAATTGTAATAATAATAATTGGGCTTAATTTTCGTACAAGCCAGCCCCTTCTTCATAAAGGTCTATTTATACTCAGATGTGATCAAGATAATCATAGTCTGTACATTAAAAAAGTATACATTTTTAACATTTGAAATATATGTGAAGAGTCTGGCTTTAATGACACGAATGGAACTTCTTTTCACTTTAAAAAAATGGATGTCGGGGGCATGTTAATCTAATATGTTTCATATTGACTTTTTAAAGTTTGGCTATTTCTGCCATGAAATTGAACTCTCTTGAGTAATGTTCAATTTACACACACATGAAGCTAATGAGACCAATATCAAAATAAATCTAAGTGGTGGCAGAACAATGTATGCGTGTTTAATAATTGGACTAATTTCAGGTAGTATACAAGATACCACTTGAGACAAATGAAGACCGGTGTTGTTTATTGGTATTAGATTATAGGACTGACTAATTCAACCAGCCGAGTTTCGAGTACGCCCTGAAGAATGAATTATTCATTTCTTAGAAAACGTAAAAAACGTGTTAAATTTTATTTGCTTTGTAAGCAATAGCTCTGGCAAAAACATTATCCAGAATATTGTGGATTTATTTTGTTTAATGCTTCTTTCTTTGGTATTGGTTATGTCAATGAGACAGCTGGCTTAATTATGATTATTGTTGAAATTTTACATTGGAGATTCACTTCTTAAAAGATAGTTTGGATATTAGTATCTTCATTGATTACATTCTCGTGTAAATAGATAATTTCCATTGTAAATAATTTAGAAATTCGCATTAATTTTATAAATGCTAACGTCCCCCCAAAAAAAACAAGGATCATTTTGAATCGAAGGCACTCTTACAGCTGTACCCCTACGAAAACAACATGCCGTTAATTTTAGCCACTAAAACGTATTTGATATGAATCTGGTATAAATAAGACACACAAAATAGCTTTTGCTTTTTTATTCTCATATCTGTTATCGACACAAGCCACCTTCAGATGTAATAATAGATATAAAGAAATATATTACACAATTGACTGATCAAATGAATAATTGGTATTTCCAGAATTGCATTGTATTATACCCGGAAGAGGAACTAAGACAGGCTTCTAATTATATAAATCATTCTGGTATTTTTATGAAACACTAAAATATATTGTCGTAGTATAGTATCATTCTCTATATCTATAAGCTAACAAAACTATGAGTTGTATTTATAATTCTTTGTGTGAATTATAACGAAGACGCTTATGATTTGATGAAAAATTTGTCGATCTTTTTTTAACTGGACGTGTGTTTATCTATTTATGCTTTTCTCTTCTGCAAACATAGAGTCACTTGTAATGTTTCTACTTTTGTTATTATGTAACTGTGTTACCCGCCGGTCGATTTTAACCCCACTTTTGTAACAGGCACAATAACGCAATAATCATTAATTATAATTTTAATTGTTCTGTATTTAATGATGAAATTTGTGTTATTTATTTTATATTTAAAAATACAAAATAAATAGCACAATTAAAACTCTTGTAAAAAGGGTATTATGAAGTTCTTTTAACCCCATTTCTTAAAGTCCCAAGGTCGCAAATATCGTGAGAAAGGTGGATAACTCCAACGGACCCAATATTGCGAAATCCATTTTCTCCCTTGGACATCCTGTTATGCCGGACAAAACTGTCAATGATCATTAATTACCCATTTTATCATTAAATACTACACCAAATACAAAATAAATAAAACCTTGGTTATTATGAAGTTATTTGAAAGTCAATGCAATGAATTCAAATTATTGTGGTTCACTTACCCGATAAGTTAAAATTTGGCCACCATCCTAGATCACACGGTGTACAGGTACTGTTATCAGTGACAATCTGATTATCTTTACACGGTATACATACCCAGCAACACGATGAACCCTTTACTTCCTAATAAATTAAATCATTTTTTAATATAGTTTCAACCCAGAGAACACACGGGACATAAAAATGCAATACTTATATTGAGTTATCTTTATTCAGATATCGTAATTTATTTGAAATAATAAAGCTATTATAAAATGATATACTGTGCAAGCTTGCGATTGAAATAACGTATATTATAAATTCCATTGCAATTCAGTGGGCGGTATTCGATGCAAAGATGCAAACGAACACATATTCCCATTGTGCTACAAGTAGTTTAGTAAGGTTATTATGTTCTAATAATCTCATTTCTTGTATTATTGCATTGCATATTATAAATTATGTGTGTACTTTTCCTGAACACTAGACTACCAATTTGATTTGTTTTGTACTGTAATTTTTCATTTCTACATTATTAACCCCCCCCCCCCAAAAAAAAAAAAAAACAACAACAAAAAAAACCCCATCAAAATGAGAAAATAAAACGTTTTGTGGCATTACATGAAATCAATTTCTCATCAAATGGAAATGTCATATGCTATATCAACGTGGGTGTTTAACGCTGTAATCATATTAATAATATTCATGTATCGTAATTACCCAGCACAGTAAACGCTAGTTAACTGTTACATAGTATTTACTGACCTTGACGTGACCTTTAGGGCAGGGTTTACTACAAATAGATTCTGGTTCCCTGCGATCAGTATTCTCAGATCCAGGCCAGTGGATTTTACTGCTATTTAAGCTTAATGTGCCTGTCATCCACGTGCCTACACTGACGTAAGTGTAAGTGACGTTGCCATCCGGGTGATACTGTGGTTGGTAATTGACTATTTCATACCTTTAATAATAATCATATAAAGTAATTCTAGAATACGATCTACTTAAAAGCAAAGTACCCTAATCGAGTCGTGTGTTCAGTAAGCTTGAAACACATGAAACTGAATCCAAGATATCAGGCAAATGAATATTTTTATTTTAAATGTTTCTCTTAAATCACAGTTTACTTCGTGTTTGTTATCCAAAACCTAAAAACAACATTAATCACACATTAAATGACTGGCGCAAGTTTATACTAATATAACGTCAAATTAGTATCCAGAAAACTTTATACATCGACTTTACAAATAATCTCTGAGTATGGTGCAAGAGATCGAGGGGTCGGCTCAGTGTTGCCGTGTTCCCGGAGATGTTCTTGTCGGATTTACCCTCAGCTGTGCAGGACAGAGGGTGTTACTAGTTGTTCGGACGAGACGAACAAGTGAGGACCCATGTAGGGCCTACACAGTGGCGTCAATGAAACCATTTTCGTTTGCCCAGTTGGTGCACAAAAGTAAGATAAACCCGTTTTTATTTTATTTCCATGAGCAGGAATATTGGATTTCTATGTGGGTTAAATCTCTTTTTGACAAAACTATACCTTTATTTTCAGAGCTAATGTACATAATTCCCCAATACAACGGAGAGCACTGATGATACTATATGAATCCAATAAGGTTTTGAAAGAACAAGGATCAAATTATATGGACTTATATACATACCTTCCTGGGGGATTTCCATGATCATCAAAATGAACTGCTTCTCCACTGTAACTGTTAAACGTAACGTTAAGTAAGTAGTCGAGATACAAACTGCCATTTATTGGTCTCATGGCATCACATAGTCCTGGTTTACCATCACACAATTGTTGGTGCATGTTATGTAAGGCATAAGCCATGGTATACACAGCATTTGCTACAAAACCTAATTTAGAATCCTGTTTACTGTTAGCCAAGTTGGAATCAGCTGAAAATACAATTCCAATACGATTAGAGTTATATTTGTGTATGTCCTAAATGTCAGTCTGTTTAGTGTCCAATTTGTTGATTGACCATTGAAGTTTCAAAAAACGGTGAGGAAATTAACAAAAAGGGGACTTTATCCCTCCCAGTACCCCCACAGTCGTGGCGAAGAGTCAAACACTTCAGATTTAATTGATCGCAATGCTGCCAATACAATACATACATTTCCAGTTCCACCCAATCGTTTGCAGTAACTGTTTTGTAAGGCTATATATATATATAATAGTATGCTATAAACTGCTACGATTAGTACTAAATCATATTATAGTTTTCTCGACGATGCAAGAGATTTACCCTGTTTAAAACTTTCTACCTACTTTTTACTACTGGAATTCAAGCCACCGCTGGGCAATATTGGTATTACTTTATGTCTCACTAATATGTTTTTTGGAGAATGATATCGACAATAAAAGAATCCGTCCAATTTATTATCTCGACAGGAATAGCCTTCCGACCTAAGCAATCAGCATAATCTTTTTTTTTTAATATAAAAAAAAATATTTCCGTACTCAAAATATTTGTCTATAACTACACCCGGCTTTGAGGCAATCCTGAACCAAATCTAAATAATAATTGAGGAGATTATATCAGTGATGGGTCTTTTAATGGCTGGTTATCCTAGGTGATTGAGTAATGTGGAAATAATAGGAATAAAACTAGATTACATCACCTAGAAGCTAGAACCGAATTCATCAAGCTATTTAACCTCCCTAATAACCTAAGATGGATTACTAATCACAAACACTATTAGTCTTCAATCTGGTCAATTCAACGTATTGACATAAGCAATAACGGTTCTATTATAAGCAGTTCCACGTTCGACTAAGTCTTATTCAAGGAACTAAAGCAAACATTTGTCTGCTATTGACAGAAGCATTGTGCTACTGACTGTCTGAAGGTCAATGATCATCACCTGTTACAGGATTAAATATCTGTACTTTTCATATTTGAAAAAAAGATTTTCAAGAAATCTGTAGCAATCTGTGCATTTTTGTTAATATACTAATTGCGTTTATCACAGAGTTTGTAACTCTCATTAAAAAGAAGAGAATGTTTGACATTCACTAAATATCCGTTATAAATAAATGGCTGGACTAAATCGTTATTATGTGGATATTATCATATTACGAAGAGCTCATAAAAATGTAGATCTGCGAGACAAACTGGCTTTGTTAGTATCTTCACTTGACTTGTTAATTCTTGTTTCATTTTTATGCACGCACACTTAAATGTGGCCGTATATTGTCGCCACCTATGTCAGTCCGTCAGGGGCTAAAGTTATTCGATTGAAAGTTCTGCAAAGTATTAATGTTCATGAAATGAAAAGGCCCTTTTAATAAGGATTTCTGATAATCACTTGGAAAACTCTTGTGGGCGCTCTTAATGCTAAAGGTATGGTTTGATTGAATTAAATGGATACACGGTGCCTTATCAACGATTTCCGATAACACGAAAAGCTATAGTTATCATCTGATTACATGTCTTGTGAAGGAAGAAATAGAAGCCTCTCAAATCTTAATTATTTCTGATAATTAATTTATGAGTTGAAATTATTAAATTGTAATTATTTCTGAAAAATTTTTCATGCAGTGGGCGTATATTAAATAAGTTAATCGCTCTTACAGAGAGAGAGAGAATGGGGTTTAACGTCCACTCGACACAAACTAGGTCATTTCGGGACTAACATATGGTTTTAATTTTATTTACATAATTCGCTTGCGCGTAGGGGTCTTTAGCAGTGGGAGGAAACCGGAGGACCCGGAGAAAACCCACGAGGTTGGACAGGCGACCCTACTCCTTGCCACGCACAACCGGGGATTCGAAACCACGCCAGACTTTATGATACAGCGCGCGCACACTAACCATTCAGCCATCCACCCCCCCCCCACTCTTACAGACTCTACGCTAAGTTACCCACCAAGAACCACCGAGAGGATGGACCACCCGATTTTATTCATTAATAGAATATTTATAGAAAGATAATGATTACAATTGCAAAAACAGATCCTGGGTGCCTCTTCTCGACCCCACACTCATAGATTATTAAAACCCAAGTCAATGTTTTAGCAGCCTTGTAATGGCTTAACATATTGTGCCACGAAAACAAAAATTTTAGTTGGCTTGTAGATACACAACAACAATTATCCCACAAAAATTAATAAATTTGATTTTAAGAAAATTGTTGCAAACGAAATATATTGCATCGTCTCTTTATACACGCAACAACTAATTGATCAGAAAAGACTTACAACGCTCTGTTTTAAAAGGGGAAAAGGGGGTTAATGTAATTACTGCAGAAAAGATAAATTGAATAAACTAGTATGTCTGTTTCTCTCATCAAGGAAGGTTGCCTTTGTTAATCTCAATTATAAAATAATTACTCAAAATAAGAATTAAATCCAATTCGATTATCTTCAAGGGTAGCATTGACTGGGTGGTTGTCAAGTGGGATAGAATTATTGACCAATGATTAAAGACTTTACATCCAGACCTTTAGGAGATAAAGATGCTGTGGTGGAGAAAGATAAAATGAAAGTGTCAATAAAATAAAGTTGGTTTTACCATAAATCAAGTCAGTTATGATAAAGTTGATATCTTCAGTCGGGTTATTTAATACCTCTATAGCTGTCAAAATATGTTTGATGATTTAGGCGGAATATAGGTTAATAAATGTGTGCTAATGGGTCTAACAAGTTAGTATGATTGACAAGAACTCTAGAAAGATCATGGTAAAATCTAGAAAACAGGACCTAGATAATGTTTTCTTGTATACCAATATATATTAACTTAGCTATTATTATAAACTTTTAAGATTTGGTCTATTGCTTTACTTTTAAATTTGTAGGCCTGTCGTATATATTGGTGTAATTGTTTACAATACACAATGTTCATTATTGCTACAACTAGTCAAACTGTTTCTATAAAAAGTTAAACATACATTATGCAAGAGCCAAATCTGCCTATTGCAAGTCTTTATTTGGGCCTTAGATGTTATAGAAATTATTAATTAGATCTTTATTTACATGTCAAGCTCAGGGTCAACTCTGTAGACCCTCGGATGGCTTGGATGCAGCTTTGATTTAAACAGTCGTCCATTTAAAATTAAATCAATAAATGGCCGACCAAGCTAACTTTTACCCTTAGTCACTGACGTCACTACCGGAGACTTCCAATGAAAGGCCTACCTAGCGAGGGTACCATAGCCATTGAGAATGTTACTTGATAATCGAGAATATCTGGGTGGAGTTATCGTCTGTCTGGGCAATTTTCGTAGACAGTGTGGACACAGTTGATGCCTATTTCTAGTCCAAACTTCCAACAATGACAACTCCTTTCAGAATAAAGTAATTTGACTGAAATTTTCAATATTTTCTTTTTTTATCATCTATTTTTGAATTATTATAGCAAGAATGGCCAACTCTTTCTTAAACTCTTAACTAATATATCTCTAATATGTAACTAAGGCTGCTAATGATACTTTTAGACTTGAAATCTAACATGATTCAATGGTAAGAATTTTTCTGCGATATCACCCTCGGTGGAACTAGACGTTAAGCCACACAACCCAACGAACCTACGACAAGAACTCGTAAGATACATTGTTTTTCCCCTACCTTTGATATGATCAGCAATCGACGATAATGTAAATACGACGCCAAACCTCAAAGGGTATATTATTATATCTAATTTGTTTATTATTGGATGTTTAATATTTCATTACATATCTACTTTTCGTATAAATATCATTGTAAATTAAAATTTGGTATTTCTTTACAGCTCTGTATGATAATATTTTAGAGCTATCTTATACCGCGATATAAAAAAAATATATTTGAGTCACCTTTGACGTGAGAATCAAATGGAAACCGTACATATTTTTTTTTATTAATTTCAAAAAATATTTCACTCAGTTATCTGAAGATCCCTTAGAATCGGATTCGCGCTTATTTCATATCAAAGCATACATAAATCATAGCAATTTAATACATCATTTTACGCAACAATGCTCTTACATGTTACATGCAGACATTTTATACCACTTGCGATAAAATATTATATTTCAGAACCTTTATAATGGGACCGAGCTAGACCGAAGATGAGTAAATGGGTTATAACATTAGGCGCATTTGTGCATTTTGCTAATAAATTCAATGCAATTGGCAATAAAATGTCTTATTAAAATGTCTCATTGCTTTACATAAAAGAATCCCATAGACATTGAACGGAAAATGGGCATGAACGTATTTCAAGCAATGATAATGCCAATTTTGACACCTTAAGTTGATTCGATCCAAACAGGAAACTACGTAAATCAGTGATAGAACTGTTACCAGATGGCCACAAAGAATGGCTACAAAATATAATAGAATAATTAGATGTACATCATGGCCATAACCACATCAAATGTCATAGACATAATGAAATAATAAACCCCTACGTGACCCCGTCTACACGTCTCTGTTATAAAATGAGTTTATAATCGCGTATTTCGGTTTTAATTTTAAAATTGAATATCTCGTCCGACTTTATTATTACTTCTTAAAGGTTAAAGAATTGATCAGTATGATACGACCTGGTAATTTAAACATGTGGCAATATGCCTAGACCTGTGAAGGCGTCACTTATTGTCCACTTTGCACGACTCGACCTCTTAAGTTTTAGTCCATATCATAGTCTTTGCAAAGTATTAGTTTAATATAGCTATATTTGGCATGCCTGTATTTAGTTTTGTTTCTGTTTATTCTTTTTCTGAAAAATGATTGATATGCTGAATTTGAACAAAATCTGTTAATTATTGCAACCTATAGAGTATTTACAGATAAAAACTAACAAAAACGTGGGTGTGCTACATGCACCAAAATAAATAGTTGCTATCCTTACAGTGTAAGCAGTATAAGGAATAAATATGCCAAGTTCCAAGGTGATCCATTTAGAATTCCAGCCTGTAGACAAAAAACACAAAAATTGAGCGTGGCTCTGCCTCTGGGGTTGGACATGAACCAATCCCTATGCTGGATCATTCCGAATTGGATAACAAACAAACAAATACAATAAATGGGCGTGGCTCTGCCACTGGGGGTCGAACATGCACCAAAAACAATAGGGATCATCCCTAGGGTACAAGGAATAAATATGAAAATTTTTCAAGACAATCGATTAAGAATTGTGGCCCGTAGGCGACACACAGATACACAAAAAGAAAATGGGCATGCACCACTAACAATAGGGGTGTTTCTTAGTGTATAAAGAATACGTATGCAAAGTTTCAAGATGATGGTTAAGAAATATGGCCTGTACAGGACAAACAAACAAATACAAAGTATGTAAAGCTTCAAGACGATCACTTAAGAATTGCGGCCTGTAGGCAACACACAGACACCCACCCACACCCACACCCATACCCACACACAGAGGCAGGGGCGACGACAATATAAAATGGATAATCGAGACTATAATTTTTATTGTACCGACTTTAGTAATGATGATCGAGGCTAGAACTAAAATTCAATCCCTAAATTCTCGGTTCAGAGTGGATCAATTTGTCTGAAATTTTCAGCAAATTCCCTTTACATTATGTAGTTTTTAACTATTATAATGAAAACTGCCAGCTCTTTATCTAATCTCCCATAATGTATCTTTAATCAAGTTAAAAGTACAAAGCTTACTTCCTACCACCTTCTAATCACTTATGGGGATTCCTGTTAATGAAGAATCTGGTTAATATATGTTTTTCTGACTCCAGTTGCCCATATATTCCTTTTTAATATGAACATTAGATGCACCCCCCTTGAGATATCGAAAAAATGTATAAAATTATAATTTTGTTTTATCAAACAATTTGTTTTATATTTCGATTGATTTATTTCTCTGAAATTAACTCCCGTATCACCAAGAGCCAAACATCAATACTGCCCTTTCATGTATTTAGCACTTAGATATTAACCTTAAATGCTTCCATTCCGTTCAAATTTCTTTGAGATGGTCGTAATTTGTCTTTTCATATCAAGTCATTAGAAACCTCATTTTGGTCTTGATAAAAGCATGCAATAAAAAGCAAAGATCCGCACTAAATCACTTATGTGCAAAACAAGGTTAGGTTAGTCTTTTGAATCTGTAAATTATCGTTCCGTTTTTTTGTTCAATTAACGCGTGAGGAACTTTTTGTTTTACATGTAAAGCATCACAAAGTTTTTATCTTGAAAATAAAACCCCCACAAGTACTAATTGTGCAATTAGTACAGTTGTAAAATATTCGACAAAGAAATATTAATGAATATAGAATAAATGTGCTTCTAGATCTTAAGGTAGCTTGATTTAGATTGTGTGTGGGGTTATAAAAATCTACACATATGGATGACACAGTACTCCTACCCTCAAGAGGATTTAAATGTTATATTTATATATGTTTCCTATTAACATTACTAAAGAAAAGTAAAATATATATTTTTTTCTTAGAGAAATGGGACCAGTATTCGAGTAAACCTGTCCTTCAATTGAAAATAATTATCACGAACGATACCTTTGTGTTACAGAGACACTATTTTAAAGGAATTTTAATGTGTTGCATGGGAAGTAAACATAGCACAGACCGGAATAATATTTTTTTAAATTTTAGAGCCATAGCGAAATTGCGATTTGTAATAAACAGAAATTAAAAACACATAATCATTTTCACCAAGACCATATTCTAAATCACCGTAGACTCGCCTAATTTCGAAAATGTAAGAATAAGATATTATCCACGAGCTTTGGCTAAACTACTTTAAAACATCTCAGCGATGTCTTGATCGAATTGTCACAAATTTTGCATACAACCTAATTTGAAAATATCCGATGTAGCTATATAGTTAGATTAGGTCAAATATTTATTACCAATAGCTGTATATTCTCAAAGTGCTACAGTAAAATTAACCTACGTTTGTATTTAAATGGCCCAAAACGTCTACTTACCTGAACACATTTCATTATATCGGGTGTCAGTATCATCTCCTGCGTTTAATCTACATACAAATCGTTCCTGCCAAAATTCTTTAAACCACGGATTCCTGCTATTATTTTCTGGATACAGGCTGGAATAATAGTCATCGAAGTCATCTAATTGTGGCGAGTAGAGTTTTATAGAGATACCCCCAGCGGCTTCTTCCTCTACACCTTCAACAACATCAGGACGATTACCCCAACCATCACTAAAATTATAAATATATATCTTTAATTGTGAAAGCTATCCGAAACATCAGTAACAAAAACAACATAAACAACTAGTAGCACAATATTATAACCACAAAGAGAAACTGGACAAGACATGACGTCATTAAAGCTTCTTGCAATTTTCAGACAAAAGCACACGCCACATTAGACAATAATCTCCGTTATCAAAAGGGTGCAAATATTTTACTTTCCCGTTTCTTTAAGAATAGAGTAAATAATCCAGTCACTATTAATCGAAAATACTAAACAAGAACACATCCCTAAAAATATCACTATCATTCCTAAATATATATATTCCAAGACATAACTAGGACGCATTCCTTAGGGATGCATTATGTAAGATTTAGATTAAGAGCTGACAGTTCTAGCTATAATATAGTTTTAAAAGTAGATAATGAATTCCAGGATGTATTCAGAATAGGGATATATGTTGAAAATTTCAGTGATTTTACTTTATTCTGGGTGGAGTCATTTTCATTAGAAGAATAATGTAGTCTCGATTATCATTACTATCGTTGTTACGATAATAAACAACGTCTCGATTATTCACTTTTTAATTAAATCATTAACTAGCAAACGTGTTTAAATCCATTTAAAATCAAATGCATCCCATGCTCTAGAGCGTTAATCATGGGCTTGGCATGTGATTTATTAATGATTTATATAACATTTGAGGCCAAACGAAAGTTCTGCATTAGGCAGATTTAGCTCTTACATAATGCATTATATTTCTAACTACATCCTTAGATGTAACTAGGACTTATTTTACATATAACTAGGACACATTCCTAAATCAAAAATATATTATGCATCCTTGCGGGGGTTCATTACAATATGTGTGTGTGGGTGTGTGTGTGTGTGTGTGTGTGTGGCTGGGGGTGGCCGAATGCTTTGCGCGTGCGCTTTGTATAATAAGGTCTGTCATTGAGACAACTGGCGTGGTTTCGATTAGTAGGTTGTACGTGACAAGGTGTAGGGTCGCCTGTCTAACCTCGCAGGTTTTCTGCGCGTCTCCGGTTTCCTCCCACTGCTTAAAAAAACCCAACGCGGAAGCGAATTATTGAAATAAAATTGAACCATGTGTCAGCCCCGAAATGACCTAGTTTGTGTCGAGTTGACGTTAAATCCCATTTCTCTTACATAACAAAATTGTAATAAATTGCCCACACTGCAAAGATTGTTTGCAAGATCTCTTGAGACAAGGGCCTTAAATTTTTTCAACTCTCATTCATGTGAAACATAACCATGCACGTTTTACTTCAAACATCTGTATAAGTAGATCTAACAGCAAGACGAGTACGCCTTATTATATCAATACCATAACCAACCGAGATCCTACTACATTGTAGGTGTTCCCAACTCTAATTATAAAAATAATATAAATTTCAAAATACGGGTGCGAATATCAATACCTAACTCGACATTTATATATACCAACTTAAAAGCCGCAACTGAGATCTGAGATTCAAATGAATATTAACCTAGAAACTACCATGTCGACAGAACACTGTATTAGACCGTGTTTTGTTTCCAGATCATTTTTTCAATAGTTATCGGTTTTGGGATGGAACGAAACAGTAAGCAAACCGGGAAATCTGAAAAGTAACGGGGAACGAAATAATTAATAATGAAAACAAAAACTGATTTATATTTGAACCGAAGTGGGGATTCGACTAAAAATAACGCTAAAGTAGCATTATCGGATATGTTTGTAAGCATCGTAGAAATTTAAAGCAGCTAAACCGGTTTGATTAGGCCAAAGAAAAAGCAATACATTGGGTTATTCTGGATTGTTATTCAGAATAATGTTTGGGCAAGCTTTGCATGATATTATTATTGTTCCCAAATATTAAGCAAATGTAATGTATATTTCGGTGTATATATAGGCCTTCCATGTCGACAGCGGATCGGTGATATCTCAACGCTGTCTTTATCGATACAAGTAGAAATCAAAACGAAGACAGATTGTCAATCAATCAAACACATCTGTAGTAGTGTCTACCAAAATCAAAGAGATCGAGGCATTCTAAACCGGCATTTAATAATTTAACTGGATATGCACGGGCACTAGATAAAGACTATAGAACCATAATCGAAACGTCTCCCAACAATAACCAGACATGGTACTCCGTGCTTTGTGTCCCGTGTATAATAAAGTAGATACTAGTTATTTTTGCAAATTATATATAGAATATCTATCCAGACAAGGAAATGAAAAGACACATAAATCCAGATAATCATGTGTATTCTTAGCTTTCGAGTCCGCCGGACTCTTCAAAAGAGACGCGAAAAAACAAGTGTGGCTATTAACAAATTTACAAGCTTGTAAATATATATAGTTAGTAATCATCTCCCATGATTGTGTTCCGTGTATAAGATATATAGATACTTGTCTTTTGCAAATAGTTAGTAATCATAATTCTGTGTGTGTTAATACATTTTGGGGTGTTTTGGTTGTGCGGGGTAATTTGTTGGAGAAATTAATTTGTTTACTAAAGTCAACTATACTTTAGTAAGTTTTGGTTGCGCTGAGTTTTTTTTTGTTGGAGAAATTAGTTTGTTTACTAAAATAGAATATGTTTTAAAATCAAATACCAGTTTGTAATTTCGTTGCGTGTTTGGTGATATAACCAGGAGGTATACAATGAGCTTGATGCCAGTATATTACTGTAATTATTACAACAAGTCTGGTATTAAAGACTGGAATATGTCACTCTTAGCACGGAAATACATTACACACATGTCATGATATCTGGCGTTAAGATCATCAGTCGCTTATTTAGCCATCTCAATTAAACAGCGCAGTTATAACAGCATGGTATTTCTCAAAACTGTTATAAAAAGAAATAGGGTTTTAAAGCCCTAACCAGACTAATGAAAGCCGAACATACGCCATGCAGTTTGCTACTAGGAACATTTTGCCCGATCAGCTGCGTTTCGTTCTAATCTTCAACTGTTCTTTTATATGTATACCAACGAGTGCATGGATGAAACTTGGTTTATCGCCCCATTTAAAATCGGAATCTCAGCCCGGACCTCCTGGTTATTGAGTCAGCGCCATTATGGTCCCTTTTCTCGCATAAAATATTATGTAAATGTATAGATAAATCTAAATCACTAAGTTATAGAGCACGATTTGTAATTTTGCCATCAGTAATAAATTAGTAAATATGCTAATGACTATAAGTATAAATCGAAGAGTCGAGGTTTCCAGTGTGACAGTAAGAGCCAAAAGTTATTAACGGCTTTACCAGGAATGGTTATAAAATACCAGCACAGAATCATGTCAAGAAACGTCTTAGACTTCCTCATTAACAGACAGTCCAAATTATAGCACGTCTTTGATAACAATTTTAAGGAGAGTCCACAAAAGCATCAAGTCTTTCACGAGTTTTGATGGGAATGCAATAAAAGAGTGGCTATAGATCCATCTACACAATAATGTTTCCAGTATCGAATACCAATTCAAAGATATTGAATAATACGTTAACCTGTATCGAAAAGCTATTACATGTTTTTCTCTTTCTAATAAACATTCAAAACGTACCGAACAATAATAATTTGTATGGGAGAATTGTTTTCTTTTTCTCATTTACTCAATTATTTTTTTCTAATAAATGAAATATAATATACCGACTGCTTGACATAACCACGCATGCATAAGGGGACAATGAATATAGATTTCAAATAAATAAGTTTTGTCTTTAGATCTATCTCATGATTTTATAAAACAGAACATAAGAGTCGGAGTAGAATTCCGTGAATTTACAATTTACAGATTTTTAGAGCCACGGTGGCTCAGTGAGTAAGACAGACAGAGAGAGAGAGGGAGGAAACCACGTACAACCTGGGAATCGAAATCACGCCAGTTGACTCAATGACAGACTTTATGATACAGCGCGCACGTGCTAACCATTCAGCCATCCCGCCCCCCAGTGAGCAAGACGTTGGCTCGCTAACATGGAGATCCCGTGTTCGATCCCTGTTTTGGCCGAGAAAGCTCATCGGGATTTTCCTGCGTGGTTCCTCCTTGTCAGTGGTGCAGGACAGAAGGCCTGGCAAGGGACATCGTTCGGATGGGACGGAAAACCGAGGTCCCATGTACACATTGGCGTACACGTAAAATATCCCTTGACAGTTGGACTTCGATATAAGAGTAGGCCGTAACGTAGCACCGCTGTACGGGGAAAATTTCCCCTCATAGCACACTCATGGCGTATGCCCGTCTTTATATAGTCCAGTCGGAGAAGAACAGTGGGACGTTAAACCCCATTTCATTTCATTTCTGTTGGTTTCTGACTAGCACTCATATATGGCGGGAAACAAGACTGTCAGTGGCCATATGGTTTTTTTTTCTTAAAGCCACCCGTTAAAAAGGATATAAACCTACCCTCAAGGGTGTCGAATAGCGGTCAATTGTAACGATGACAATGCTAATATAAGACCGTCTCACAAAATGATTATGTAAAATATATTCAAATTTCAATCTGTTTACTTCTCGAGAACATTTAATCTTTTTTGGGGGCTTCACAAAGTTTGTCACCGAAAAACGTTTAGCGATAGCATGGCATCTTTAAGGAAGGGTTAGCACACGCAAATAAATTATAGAAATATTAATTTTGCGAACACCCTCCATAATTATTTTGCTTACATAATAGGCCTAAATCATATCACGAAATAAATCAGGTTAGCCTGTGTATATAGAAAGTAAAGCTGAACAGGGGAGTGTTTACTAATATTAATATATGAACATCGGGTGTATCATTCCGTAATGACATAGGAACGCTATCAACTCGAACAAATAACTTCCCATAATTGTCTGGCATTTCTAACAAAACATTGATACAAAATCCAATAAAATATCGTAGAATACGATATACTGCACCGCAGTTGAACTTTAACTGACTTGCAAATAACATACCGGTGGCATAATTCAAACTGACCAAATTGTGCGTTTAAATATCACGACCTTTCTAAA